TCATTTTCCACTTGGGTATCCTTCAGAATTCAATAATCAAGTTCAATAGGTTTAAAACCTGATCACATTCTTTTCTGTCCTTTACCTTCCCCCATAGCCCAGGCCCTATCATGACGTGGGCTGCTTTCAGCACAGCCAACCTATTTTCACCAACTTTTGGTCACCATTATCACCTTCCCTAGCATACTATCATCAATCCCTTTGTCTGCCAAACTGTCATTCTCTCTGTCTGGGCTCCATCTCCATCCACAGCTCTCATTGTTTACCCCTTCCCACCCTGTCTTTAGCATATATACCATCTTTTCCTAGTTACTATCAATTCCGAAGAAGGGTCACCAGACTTGAAACGTTAAGTCTGTTTTCGCTCCACAAATGCTGTCAGACCTGCTGAGTTTCTCCACTAATTTCTGTTTGAAGTTCAGATTTCCAGCAAGAGCAGTTCTTCAGTTTAATGTAAGTTGCAATGCTGGCCAGTTGCCGATTGACGGCGCCGTGGAGCCTTGTGAGACTCGAAGCTGCAGAAAGAGCGATGGCGTTTGATATTTCTATTGTTTCTCAGATGAATTGAAACATCGAGAGGTGCGCGGGAGGTTGTATTCATAAACGTGAAGCGGTTTACGCCGTGCGTGTCTCTTGTGACAATAACATTTGACCCGGATGTGTTTATTTGTATGTAGTGAGGTTTTGAGCCGGCCAGCGGTGAGGGACTCAAGGAAAGTCGCATAATGGGGAAAAAAAATAAAAAAGATAAGAAGGGAAAGGGAGCTGATAAAAACGCGGCCAAGATGGAGAAAAAGGTCGCCAAACATTCTCAGAAGGAGGAGGTGAGGAGTGTGACTGGGAGAGAAAGAGGCTGGGAGACAGAGGGAATTGTCACCTTGCCCCCGGTTTTAGGCCTCAGACTCTGCAAAGATAACATTGTGCCTTTTCTAGACCTATAACTGTTAATGACAATCTGTCCCTTTTTTGTCCGAGTTATTAACTTAAAACTCAAGATAGGAGTGGGGAAGGAGTAGGCAGTGTCACCACGTGCACACTTCATGTATCCATATCCACTTATTGCCTTACCTGCACTTTTATTTTCTGTTGCTGCAATGAAATTACTTTTCTTCCAAGGAGTTGATTCTGTCTTGAGGTCAAGGAGAGGGCAACGGGAATGTGCCGGCCTTATAAACGTGAAATCATTGTTGTCTTATGTTGCTGTGTTGCCTTAAACCCAACTAGACAGTATCATCTTTATCCTCTTTTGACTCCTGATTGACGTCAACACAGGAGAGCTCTGAAGTGTTTGACGTACAATCTTTTGTTTATTTTAGATATACTCCTGTTCCAAAAGCACACTAAAACACTTTTCAAATAGGCTTGATCTGATTTTGGAATTACTATCAGTTCTAGTGTTTTGTAGTAGAAACTACTTTGCAGTTAGGCAAGAGTGATATTGTGTTTGCACTTGTTGGGTTACTTGCACCTGACAAGTTTTAAGAAATTTGAACCAAATTTCTTTTGGTCCATCAGTATCACCCCTCAAGTAGATCATTCTGATATCTAATTTAGGTTTTGAATGAGCATGTTGTTACTATGGTTGATAGATGTTCAAGTGTTGTTGAGTAGAGGGGTTTTAATGGAAACTACAAATAGAATACAAAAATTCCATTTTTAAATAGTTTGTTCAGTTGCATTGTAGTAGCATCAATGATGAAGTTTATTAACTAATTGAATCAATAAAGTAGTAAACTCAAATCAGGCAACTATAATTACATGAGATAACAAGGTGTAGAGCTGGATGAACATAGCAGGTCAAGCAGCATCAGAGGAGCAGGAAGGCTGATGTTTCGGGCCTAGACCCTTCTTCGTCCAACTCTACACCTTGTTATCTCAGATTCTCCAGCATCTGCAGTTCCTACTATCTCTGAAACAGCTCTCATTACGTCCTTGCTTGCCTTTCCCCCGTTTGAATTTGGACCTCTGGCAAATCAAAGTGAACGTTATCTGAAAAATTATCCTTCACAGACAAGGTTATTTGAAATTAGACTGGAATTAGATACTTTCTAATTGTCTGGATGCTACTACACACACTTGGAGCTGGTGGGACTTGAATCTGAGCCTCCTAACACCGAGGTAGGGATAATAACACTGCAGTGACAGCACTTTGGACTGGAATTATAGTACATTGCCTCATGGTACTCAGCTATGTTTTGGAAATGCTTTGCATATCCACTTGTGAAACAAAATCATCACTGACCAGGTTTTCTCAATTTCATCATTGGTGGCCCTGCTTTAATGGTAAAATCCTGGGGAGTGTTGCTGAACAGAGAGACCTTGGAGCACAAATTCATTGTTCCTTGAAAGTGGCATCGCAGATAGATAGGATAGTGAAAAAGGCATTTGGTACTCTTGTCCTTAGTGGTCAGTGCATTATGTATAGGAGTTGGGAGGTCATGTTGCAGCTGTACAGGACATTGGTTAGGCCACTTTTGGACTACTGCATGGAATTCTGGTCTCCCTGCTTTAGGAGGGATGTTGTGAAACTTGAAAGGGTTCAGAAAAGATTTACAAGGATGTTGTCAGGGTTGGAGGGTTTGAGCTATAGGGAGAGGCTGAATAGGCTGGGACTATGTTCCCTGGAACATCTGAGGCTGAGGGGTGACCTTATAGAAGTTCATAAAATCATGAGGAGAATAGATAGAGTAAATAGACAGGGTGTTTTCCCTGGGGTGGGAGAGTCCAAAACTAGAGGGCATAAATTTGAGATGAGAGGAGAAAGATTTAAAAAGGGACCTAAGGGACAACTTTTTCACGCAGAGGTGGGTGCGTGTACAGAATGAGCTGCCAGAGGAAGTGGTGGAGGCTGATAAAATTACAACATTTAAACAGATTCTGGATGGGTATGTGAATAGGAAGGGTTTAGAGGGATATGGGCCAAATACTGGCTAATGGGACTCGATTTGTATAGGATATCTGGTCAGCGTGGACGAGTTGGACCGAAGGGTCTGTTTCTGTACTGTACATCTGTATAACTCTTAAGTGTTTGGTGTTGTTGCACACCAAGGGAAATATTCTCACAAAGTTGGAAATTTCTGCAACCGTGGCGTCTCATAACCATGGCAATCCTGCAGGAGTTTCTGCAACCAATCTGTAACCATGGCAGTGCTGGGGACAATTCTAGGAAGTAGGAATTTGGGAAGATGTAAGAACGTAAGAAATCAGAACTGTCTTGGCTATACAGCCCCTTGGGCCTACTCTGTCATTCAAGGAGATCACAAACATCTGTAACACTCATAATATATAACATAATAAATGATATAAAACACTTAACTCCCTAAAGTTATATATTTATGGAGAGAAGCAGGTTAAAGTGACTGCTTGATGGGGGGAAAATACTTTGAATGTTTTCACCCCTTTCATTATCCCACCTACTCAGATTTTTGTCAACCTAGTACAAATGAAAGAATGCTTGGTCAGAAGGATTGTTCAATTTTTTATTTGTTCATACATTTCAAAATTTTTTCAGTTTGTTGAATTGATATAATAGATTCCTGAATGAAATGAAATAAATCCTAAGTGATATTTTCTTTGCATCAGAAAACAAAACTACTATTGTTTCTAAATATTTTTGCCCAAGAACCATTTTCAGCCAAATATTTTTTAACAGCATCTTAATGTTACTTGCATTTCTTGCAGTCCATTTTTTTCTTTGATTATCACCAGCAATTCAGCACTAAAGTTGAACATGAAAAAAGGATGAATTTTGATTTGTTGGTTTTGAAAAACATAAGCTGTTGTCCATTCGTGACAGGTAGTATCCCTTTCTGCACTTTCAACATTCTTGTTTTTCTAATGTGTCGTAAGTTTATATCCAGGGCTTTTTTAAAGTAGTTTGTTATCTTTTGTTATTTTCCGTGTGTAGAGGAATGACTGGGGTGCTGATGTTGATTGTACTAAGTATACAAGGCATCAAATAAACAAATGTTAGGGTATCCAACTGAGCATGTTGTACATGTGAGCATATTATCACTTAGAAATAATATGACATGATTCATTATTTTCACTGTCAGCTGAATATTTTTGTAATTCAGCAGTGCCTGATTGTTTTGGATGTATAATATGTCTTGCTAGAGAGTGGCTGTTTGTATCTGTGAATTCTGTCAGTTCCCAATCTCTGTTAAGGTTTGAAACCACATGGCATAGAGAAGCAAAAGGTGCCACTACAGACTGATGACTGGGGTAAAGAAACAAATTGCATTTGTATGCAAAAGCAAAACACTGAGGATCTAAAAGTAAAATGGTAAAGAGCAGAAATATACATTGGCACAGAAAACAAAGCTAGTGTATCAGATTGACCTTTGAGAATAACTAAAAAGTGTTGGAAATTTAGCAAGTCTTACTCATACAGAGGCAGGAAGAAGGGATAGAAAATGGAGTGGGAAGAATCTGAAAGCTGAAAAGCAGGAGAGATTGAGGGCTACATTACAGATGTGATGGAAGACCATTGACCTGGGGTAAACTTTGTTGCACTCTCTGTAGGTGCTGCCAAACTCTTGAGTATTTTCAGGATTTTTCAGTTTTTTTTTCAGATTTCCAGCATGCTTTGTATTTTTCTTTTGAATAGGGGACACTTGTGCAAAGCAGAAGAGATGGGTGTGGACAAGTAAAGAAATTAAAGAAACAAGTAGCACACCGTTACTAATAGTTGAAAAAAATATATAATCTGAAACTGTTGACCTCTGTTGTATCCTGAAGGCTGTAAAGTATCTAATCAAAAGATGAAGCACTATTCCCTGAGATTACTATATCTTAATTGGAACAGTGAAATGACTGAGGACAGCGACATTACAGCGAAAGTGGAGTGAAGAACTAAAATGATTGGTGATCAGAAATTTGAGGTCATCCTTTAAACCTGAAGTCATCCCATCTGCATTCAGTCTTCTCAACATGTTGAATTCTGAAGGAATGTTGGTCCACTCCTCAGTCCCCAGTATCTGCTGCACTTATTTCCTTATTTTGTTGAACTGCTGCTGACCATGTGATGTAGGTACACCCACAGTGTTAATAGGAAGGAAATTTTTGGATTTTTATCTAGTGACAGCAAAGGAACAATGATATAGTTCCAAGCCAGGATGGTGTATGGTTTGTAGGGGAACATCTAGATGGTGTTCCCATTGCATCTGGTTCTGAGAGGTAGAGGTCATGGGCTTTGAAGGTGCAAGTTGCTGCAGTTCATCTTGTATCTAATGTATGCTGCTGCCACTGTGTTGGTGGTGGCGGGAAGATTTAGGTTGGTGAATTAAGTGCCGATGAAGTAGGTGACTTTGTCCTGGTTGATGTTGAGCTTCTTGAATATTGTTGGACCAGCACATCATTCAGGCCATTGGAGAGTATTCCATTATATTCCCGACTTGCACCTTCTAATGATGGACAGGCTTTTGGGGAGCCAGGGGCTGAGTTACCTGCCTCTGAATTCCCAGTCTCTGACCCACTTTAAGAGTTCTGTCAGTTTCCAGACAATGGTACCGCCAGGATGTGATAGAGGATTCAGCGATGTTCATGTCATTGAATGTCAAGGGAAAATAATTAGATTCTTTCTTAATGACGATGGTCACTGCTTGGCGCAAAAGTAATTTATCAGACTAAACCTGAATGTTGTACAGATCTTGTGTATGCACATGATCTGCTTCAGTGTCTCAGCAGTTATGAATGATGTAGTCATTAATGAGTACCCCCACTTCTGATCTGGTGTATCTTTGCCCATTTTCCTTCCTCTGCCTCTGTACTTCAACTAACATTTTTAACTTTGTGTCAGTTCTCATGAATGTTAAAAGGTAGA